TAGTCAAGGAGGAGTGTTAGGAATATGCCTAAATATCTTTAGGAGAATTATATTTCAAATATTTAAATTTAATCTGTTTTGATTATTTTAGGATTTGTTTCCTTATTTTTAGAATAGGATAATGTCAATATTTGATTTTGTATAACAACTTTTCTCTATAAATAGAAACTCATGAATAAAATTAGATTATGCTCATCTGATAAAAATAACTCTTATAAAATATTCCCTCAGACAAATACCATAAAATAACCCCATCTTAAACCATAACAAGCATTATGCACAGGAAACAAAACAATAAAGCTAAATAACAACTGAGATTTATCACTTAGAGTTTCTACATGAGAATGGGTTTAGTTACATCAAACCCCCCAACAAGGGTGAGATTAGCTACACATAGACATGTAGAACTCTACAAAATGATGAAGAAAGGAAGAAGGTTGATCTTGAAGGTTCCAGAGCTCTATAGCCGCCACATAGACTCCAAGAAAGGTTCTCCTTTTTCTATCCTCGAAATTCCCCCTTTTAGGTCATGAAAGTTTTTGTCTTACATGATTAATCACATGTCAGCACAATTCACGCTAAGCGTAAGATGCCACACTAAGGGTGAGGGATTGGTCTAGAAAGGAATGACTTTCTTGAACACTAACGCTTAGTGCCAATTTCCATGCTTAGCTTGAGGATTGGAGTTTGTTCCTCGACTCTTTGTCAAGCTGAGCCTGAGCATGGATCTGAGGCTTAGTGTGGAAACTTAACCGAAAATTCCTTCTACTTTGAACTCGCCACTTTGTCCTTTGCTTCCTTCCTTCTTTCCTAACTTTCTCCTAAACTACAAAATAGCAATCAAATTCTTGTAAATTGCCTAAAAACATGATTTAAAGACAAAATTTGATCACTGTTGAGTGTCTTTTGTTCATAATTTACACTCAACTTTTGGTACTCTTTTTTTGGAAATTATAGATATATATATATATATATATATGATATTTTACCCCCTAAATTTGAAGAATCAAAGTATACTAAATAGGTAGAAGAGTAGTAGAAAAATCTTAATGATTTCCCTCCCTTTTTGCAAAAAATTTTAGAAGACAGAGTTCCACATCCATAATTGTGGATCTGGAGCTTTAGCTGTGGGAATCTGGGGAGAAATCAGGAAGTCAAAAACTTGTAGCCATGGCTGTGGTTCTGCAACCATGGCTATGGAAACTTGCAGTGCAAAAATAGGACTCTAGAGAATTACAGCCATAGCTGTAGGTTCTCAGCTAAAGCGTTGAGGCATGGGAGATCAAGAAAAATTCCAGAAACACACAGCCAGAGCTGTGGTTTCATAGTTGCAGCGCTGGGACTTACTTCACCATGAAGGATTTGTCACAACTATGGTTGTGGATCTACAACTGTAGTGTTGGAGGTTACTTCACCTTGAAGAACTCTCCACAGCCATAGCTGTGGATTTACAGCTGCAGCCATAAGAGAAAAAAATCTCATTTTGGCCCCTGTTTCGAAGATAATATAAAAGAAAAAAGAGAGAGAAAACATGGTATCACAAATCAGAGGAAAAAGATTAGATTGAAGCACAAAACGAGGGAAGAACAAGGGGAGAACGAGATTTGGAAGCTAAATCCTTTGGGAACGAAGATCAACTCCATTTTCTTCATCCCTGCTAGGGATGGCAAAGTGGGTCGTGGCCCGCGGGCTGGCCCGTTGGCCTGCCAAAAATTGGCGAGCCGGGCCAATCATTTCAACCTGCCAAGCCCGCCCTGCCAAGCCCGCTAACCCGCTGGGCCAAATAGCGGGCCGACCCGCCACAACCCGCCGGCTCGCATATTTTTTTTATTTTAATTTAATTATTTTTATGTTTATTTTATTTTGATGTAGAAGATGAGGATTAAGATGATCAAGAAAAAAAGTAGAGACAACTTCTTCCAAGAGAACTTCTAATATTCTTAAAATAAAAATTCAAATTTAATTAATTGTATTTGAACTTGTTTTGTAGTCTATCAAAAAATTTAGTTTATAAGTAATTTGTAAGTTCATAATTTGGTTTTGATTTTGGTGTAAGTGGACTAATTTCTATTTGATTTTGTTCTAAGTTTGTAATTTGCTTTTGTTGACCATATATTATGTTCAATATGTATGCATTTTTAATTTCATATGGTTATATTTATTTATTTGTAGCAATTTTTTTTTTATTTGAACATAAAATATATATTTTTTTCTATTTTTTATTATTTTTATTTTTGTATGCGGGCTGGCCCGCCAACCCGCCAGCTCGTCCTTAGGCGGGGCGGGCCAGCATCCCCAGCCCATTTTACACTGGCGGGTCAGCCTGGCCTGGCCCGTTTTTGGCGGGCCAATGGCGGGCTGGACCAAAACGGGCCAGGCTGGTCCGTTTTGCCATCCCTAATCCCTACTTGTAATTTCTTCTTTTAGTTATCTGATCTTGGAATGGCCATGTGTGGCTAAATCTATTTAGGATTGGTTGGATGTAACTACTAACTCTTCTTCTTCTTAAATATATATGTATTTCATTCTCATCACTTGTGTTTGATTCTTCTCTTAATGCTTACATCGGTTTGATCATTCGTTGTACGATTTTTGGTTTTTGAATCCGGTTGGAAAACATTTTTGAAAACTGGAACTGAATCTTGCACCTAAACATCTCTTGCTCTAGGAATAAACTTGATTTGTTTAGTCACCTTGTTCAAGTTATTCTTCTTAATGCAAAGTGTTAATCATAAAACATAGAGGAATCATGTTTTAGATTAATCACTTTAGGATTCAACTTTGAGGAATCTTGTTGAATTACTAAATGAACGTGGAAGTCATGAAATTGAAATCATATTTGTTTAGGAAGAGTTGAGAGTTAGCAAGTGCTTCTGAACCAATCCTTGTTTCTTAAAATTGTTTTTACTAATTTTATATTACTATGTTGCTTTACATCATCTTAACTCAATTGCAACCACACCAACATCTTCACATAAATCATTAGAGTAAGAATTACTAAACACTCAAATCCCTAAGGACAATACTGTATTTCTACAACAAAACTTGGTCCGTTTTCCAAGTGGTGTGTTATCAAAATCCTCATCAAGTTTCTGGCACCGTTGCCGGGGATTTGGTGCTATTTAGTAATTCTTGTTCTTTTGATTTTGTAATTGTGTAAATAATTCATTCTGTGAATATTTATAATATATAGATACATTTATCTTGTTGTGTTTTGTGGACTCACCTTGCTGTACAGACTTCTTGAATTTGTATGCGAGGGAAAACTCCAACCGAGGAATTACATTTTCACCCTGAAATTGAAAGAATGACAAGGAGGAACAACAGTAGGACAAGAAGGCTTAGACAGTTGAAGAGACTCCAAAAACAACAACAAGATCTTCCAAGTTCTTCTACTTCATCAAATCAACCATTCCTTGAATCAGAAATCGCTGAAGAAGGAATAGGAACTCATAATGGTGGACATGGAACAGCTAGGCCTCCAAGAAGGACCCTAGGTGATTACACACAACAACATAGTCCTAGGCATTTCTCCAATATAGCAGCTCCAAATACTTCTAGAGCTATGGAGATGAAGCCTATTTTCCTTACTTTGGTTAGCTCACAGCAACTTGCTGGCCTTGATCTTGAGGACCCATACTCACACCGTTCAAATTTTTATGAGCTATGTGGAACAATGGGAATTCCTAAAGGTGATGAGGAAGCTGTATATTTGAGGTTGTTTCCATTTTCTCTGACGGGAAAAGCTAAAGTCTAGTTACAATCTCACCCTAATCAAAGTCTGACAAGCTAGGGTGATGTGGAAAATAAGTTTGTTAATAGATTCTATTCATCATCCAAGTATATTAAGGCCAAATAAGAAATCACAACTTTCAGGCAAGGTGCAAATGAACCCTTTGTGAAGTCTGGGAGAGATTTAAGTCATTGCTTAAAAAATGTCCTAACCACGGGTTTGAGGATATAGCTCAACTCAACGTCTTTTTTAATGGAATCAAGCCTGAGGTAAAGATGTTATTAGATGCAGCAGCTGGTGGCACCATGATGACTGTGAGCCCAAAAGAAGCAACTCAAATTATAGAGTCTTTGGCATCTTCTGATCACCAAGCAGAGCATGGGAGACATCAATCTCATAAAAGAGGAGTTCTTGATCTAAGTACCAGTGATGCAATCCTTGCTCAGAACAAGCTGCTATCTCAACAGATTGAAGCACTTACTAGCAGATGGCCAAAATTCCACAGCAGCTTCATGCTATTGCTTCTTCCCCAGCTCAATCAAATTCTTCTCTAAAGTGTGATTTTTGTGGGGGAGAGCATCCCAATGATCATTGTGCTGAGAGTTCAAATGAAGAAGAGGTCAACTACGTGGGTAACCAACAGAAAGGAGGTAACTTTAACTCCCGTAATTATAATACTAACAATTATATGCAGGGGAATCAAGGTTGGAGAAACAACAACCAGGGATATGGATGGATGAATGAAGTTGGACCATCCAATAGGCCACCACCACATGCACGAAAGAACTAGTAAATTGGAGGAGACTCTGAACCAGTTCATGCAAGTGTTTATGAACAACCAGAAAAATATTGAGGCTTCCATCAAGAATTTGGAAGTATAGGTGGGTCAGCTAGCTAAACAATTAGCTGACATGTCTGGAGGCCCATTTTCAGCCAACACCAAGACCAACCCCAAGGAGCATTGCCAAGAAATAACAACAAGAAGTGGGAAGGTAGTTGGTGGAGATTTTGGAGTGAGTGAGAAAAAAACTTGCTGGCCTTGATCTTGAGGACCCATACTCACACCGTTCAAATTTTTATGAGCTATGTGGAACAATGGGAATTCCTAAAGGTGATGAGGAAGCTGTATATTTGAGGTTGTTTCCATTTTCTCTGACGGGAAAAGCTAAAGTCTAGTTACAATCTCACCCTAATCAAAGTCTGACAAGCTAGGGTGATGTGGAAAATAAGTTTGTTAATAGATTCTATTCATCATCCAAGTATATTAAGGCCAAATAAGAAATCACAACTTTCAGGCAAGGTGCAAATGAACCCTTTGTGAAGTCTGGGAGAGATTTAAGTCATTGCTTAAAAAATGTCCTAACCACGGGTTTGAGGATATAGCTCAACTCAACGTCTTTTTTAATGGAATCAAGCCTGAGGTAAAGATGTTATTAGATGCAGCAGCTGGTGGCACCATGATGACTGTGAGCCCAAAAGAAGCAACTCAAATTATAGAGTCTTTGGCATCTTCTGATCACCAAGCAGAGCATGGGAGACATCAATCTCATAAAAGAGGAGTTCTTGATCTAAGTACCAGTGATGCAATCCTTGCTCAGAACAAGCTGCTATCTCAACAGATTGAAGCACTTACTAGCAGATGGCCAAAATTCCACAGCAGCTTCATGCTATTGCTTCTTCCCCAGCTCAATCAAATTCTTCTCTAAAGTGTGATTTTTGTGGGGGAGAGCATCCCAATGATCATTGTGCTGAGAGTTCAAATGAAGAAGAGGTCAACTACGTGGGTAACCAACAGAAAGGAGGTAACTTTAACTCCCGTAATTATAATACTAACAATTATATGCAGGGGAATCAAGGTTGGAGAAACAACAACCAGGGATATGGATGGATGAATGAAGTTGGACCATCCAATAGGCCACCACCACATGCACGAAAGAACTAGTAAATTGGAGGAGACTCTGAACCAGTTCATGCAAGTGTTTATGAACAACCAGAAAAATATTGAGGCTTCCATCAAGAATTTGGAAGTATAGGTGGGTCAGCTAGCTAAACAATTAGCTGACATGTCTGGAGGCCCATTTTCAGCCAACACCAAGACCAACCCCAAGGAGCATTGCCAAGAAATAACAACAAGAAGTGGGAAGGTAGTTGGTGGAGATTTTGGAGTGAGTGAGAAAAATGAGAAAAATGAAAAGAAAGAAAATGTTGAATTGAGGGAGGTTAAGGAAGAAGATGAGAAGAATGAGGAGGAAAGCAATAAAAATAAGAGTGTAAATAGTGAGAAAATAGAAGAAAAAAATGATGTGGAGAAGGAGAAAAATAAAAAGAAGGGCAAGGAAGTCAGTTCTACTGTTCCTATAAGAAACTTACCTTACCCTCATGCTCCTTCTAGGAAAGAAAAAGAAAGGTAGTTCCTGAGATTTTTGGATATCGTAAAGAAGCTCCAAATAAATATTCCTTTCACTGAAGCCATGGAACAAATGCTCACTTATGCCAGGTTCAGGAAGGAATTGTTAACTAAGAAGAGAAAAGTCCTTGAAGAAGAGACTGTGGAGCTTGAGGCAAGATGTAGTGCTATTATACAGAAGTCTCTACCTCAAAAGTCCAGAGATCCAGGCAGTTTCACTCTCCTGGTATCAATTGGTAATTTATCAGTGGGTAAGACACTCTTAGACCTTGGATCCAGTATTAATTTGATCCTTTTATCCATGCTGAAGAAGATAGGAAAAGTGGAAGTAAGACCTACAAGAATGACCTTATAGTTGGCAGACAGGTCCATTAAGCTTCCACATGGCATAGTGGAAGATATGATAGTGAAAGTTGATAAGTTCATGTTTCCTGTTGATTTCGTAGTCATGGACATGGAGGAGGATGTTGATGTTCCTTTGATTTTGGGCAGACCCTTTATGAAAACAACTATACTTATTATTGACATGGATGATGGAAAGATGAAGGTGAGAGTTCAAGATGAAGAGGTGAATTTCAATGTCTTCGAAGCAATGAAGTTTCCGAAAGGCAATAAAGATTGTTTCAGAATTGATGTATTAGATGATGTGTATCTAGAAACTCAAAATAATTTCAAGAATTCCCCACCATTGGAGAAAGCTTTGTCTATATTTGATGAAGAGTTGGATAAAGCCATAGATAAGGAAGTTCAGGATGTGATTGATGCTTTGAATAAAGGTGAAAACGCTTCTGCCAATGTTCAATCAAAAAAAGAATTGAAGAAGGAGGAAAAAGATCAAATAGTGAAGTTGGAATTGAAGCAGTTACCACCTCAGTTGAAGTATGTCTTTTTAGAAGAGAATGGTGGAAAACCAATCATAATTAGTAGCCAGCCTTCAAAGGAACAAGAAGGTAGATTGATTCAAGTGATAAAAGCCATTGAAGGTGCTATTGGTTGGAATTTATCTGATTTGAAAGGAATTAGTCCTTCTTATTACATGCACAAGATTCATATGAAGCAGGATTATAAACCAGTAGCCCAACCTCAGAGACGCTTGAATCCAACGATGAAAGAGGTGGTGAGAAAAGAGGTGACCAAGCTGCTTGAGGTTGTCATGATTTATCCTATTTCTGATAGTGCTTGGGTTAGTCCTGTTCAAGTCATGCCTAAGAAAGGAGGTATAACTGTGATTTATAATGAGAAGAACGAAGTGATTCCCACTCGTACTGTGACTGGGTGGAGGATGTGTATAGACTATAGGAAGTTGAACCAAGCCACAAGAAAAGATCACTACCCATTGCCTTTCATGGATCAAATGCTTGAAAGGTTAGCAGGGCAAGCTTACTATTGCTTTCTGGATGGTTACTCAGGTTACAATCAGATTGTTGTGGATCCGGAAGACCAAGAGATGATAGCTTTTACTTGTCCCTTTGGTGAATTTGCATATAGGAAAATGCCATTTGGATTGTGTAATGCACTAGCTACCTTTGAACATTGCATGTTTGCAATTTTTTTTGATTTGGTGGAGCAATGCATAGAAATCTTCATGGATGATTTCTCCGTGTTCGGCTCGTCCTTTGAAGTTTGCCATAAGAATCTCAACACTGTTCTCAAAAGGTGTGTAGATACTAATTTGGTGCTGAACTGGGAGAAAGGTCACTTCATGGTCAGAGAGGGCATTGTTCTTGGCCATAAAGTTTCTCAAAAAGGAATAGAGGTAGATCCAGCCAAGGTAGATATCATTTCAAAACTGCCACCACCAATCAGCGTGAAGGGAATTAAAAGCTTTTTGGGGCACGCAGGATTCTACAGAAGATTCATAAAAGATTTCTCCAAGATAGTTAAGCCTCTCAGTAACCTTCTTCTTAAAAATAACAAGTTTGATTTTGATAATGATTGTTTACAGGCTTTTGAACTGTTAAAAAGTAAGCTTGTTTTAGCCCCTATAATCACTGCTCCTGATTGGAAAATTGATTTTGAACTAATGTGTGATGCTAGTGATTATGTTATAGGAGCTGCTTTGGGCCAAAGGAAGGATAAAATTTTTCATGTTATTCACTATGCAAGTAAGGTGCTGAATGAAAATCAAATTAACTATGCAACAACTGAAAAAGAGTTACTTGCCATAGTGTATGCATTAGAAAAATTTTGTTCTTACCTTGTGGGTTCAAAGATCACTGTTTACACTGACCATGCTGCTATCAAGTATTTGTTGACAAAAGTATATTCAAAGCCAAGATTGATCCGGTGGATTCTATTGTTACAAGAGTTTGATCTAGAAATCAAGGACAAGAAGGGATGTGAGAATCATGTTGCTGATCACCTATCAAGACTTGTTAATGAGCAGGTGACTAGTCAAGAAGAAGAAATCTTAGAAGAATTTCCTGATGAAAAGTTGTTTGCAATGAGTGAAAGACCCTGGTTTGCTGATATGGCAAATTACAAAGCAGCAGGGGTTATTCCGGAAGAGTATAACTGGTAACAAAGGAAGAAGTTCTTCAGAGATTCTAATTACTATGTCTTGGATGATCCGTATCTGTTTAAGATAGGTGTTGATGGTTTACTAAGGAGATGTGTCTCTGGGCTGAGATCAGAGATATTTTCTGGCATTGTCATAACTCACCTATGGAGGGCATTATAATGGAGAAAGAACAACAACAAAAGTTCTCCAATCTGGATTTTATTGGCCAACCTTTTTCAAAGATGCATATGAACATTGCAAGAGTTGTGATAAGTGTCAAAGAACAGGGATAATTTCCAAGAGACATGAGTTACCCCTGCAAAACATCTTAGAAGTGGAAGTTTTTTATTGCTGGGGGATTGATTTCATTGGGCCTTTGCCATCATCTTTTGGGAATGAATACATCCTTGTGGTCGTAGACTACGTTTCAAAACGGGTGGAGGCTAGTGCTTTGCAGAAAGCTGATGCCAGAACTGTCATAAAATTTTTAAAGAAAAACATTTTTTGCAGGTTTGGATCACCAAGGGTACTCATTAGTAATGGTGGATCTCATTTTTGTAATGCTCAGTTGCAAAAAGTTCTGGAGCACTATAATGTGAGGCACAAGGTGGCCACACCTTATTATCCTCAAACCAATGGACAGGCTGAGGTTTCTAACAGAGAGTTAAAGAGAATTATGGAGAAGACAGTAGCTAGTTATAGGAAGGATTGGGCTTTGAAGTTAGATGATACACTATGGGCCTATAGGACTGCATTTAAATCTCCTATTTGGTTCTCACCATTTCATCTTGTCTATGGTAAGGCTTGTCATCTCCCGGTGGAATTGGAACATAAAGCATTCTGGGCTTTGAAGGCTTTAAATTATAACTTGAAGGCTGTAGGGGAAAAAAAAAGCTCCAATTGCATGAACTAGAAGAAATGAGGTTGCAAGCTTATAAGCCTTCTAGATCTTACAAGCACAATGCTAAGCTATACCATGACAAGAAAATTATGAACAGGAACTTCTAACCTGGCCAACAAGTATTATTGTTCAATTCCACGTTGAAACTTTTCCCTGGGAAACTCAAATCTAAGTGGTCAGGCCCTTTCTCAATTAAATCTGTCAAATCATATGGAGTAATTGAACTTGAAGATCCTGCCTCTGGAAGGACTTGGTTAGTGAATGGTCAAAGGCTCAAACACTATTTGGGTGGTGAGGTTGAAAGACTCACTACCACTACTCATCTGAAGGAGCCATGATCATACAGGAATTGTCAAGCTAAAGACAATAAATTAACATGTTCTTGTTTAATTTTAGTTTAAATTAAGTTTTGTTTTGAATAGTGAGTAGTTAAGAGTTTTTGTTCATAGAGTTGCTTGATTTCAAAATGAATTTTGCTTGATGATTGCATGTTTTGGAATGTGTTAACATTGCTGATCTAGTTTAAGGTCTATTTGTGTTTGTGTGTTAGTGGGTAGGAATTTA